TAACGGGTATAATTTTATTCCTGTCTCTCCTGGCATAGATTTGGAGCAATGACTCACAGTGTAAGTGACTATGCATGGTGAGGATAAGATGTGAGCACATCAGGAAAGGAATAAACTTATATACTGTTCTTGGGCCTTTGGCATGAGAGGTAGGGGCTTGCTGACGGTGACTCTAGGCCCCTGGGAGGGAAAGTCAATCACAATAATGTAACACAAACCAAAACGTCTGTTTCAACGTTAGGATTCCAATGTCTAGCAGTGTAGAAGTTACCATTGGTGTTTGGGGTGTTGTTGGAGCGCTTTATCAAGATGTCCAGGTTAGCTTTGTCCACAGCTATATTGGCCAAGGCACCCTGGGCCTCAAAGCTGGCAAAATGTCCAAATTCTTCAAGCCGCCACACTGTCTCCTTCTTTTCCATATCCACGTGGAAAATCTCATCACCATCAAAGTCAAACATAAACTCGCCTGATGAATCAGGCTTCAGATAGAACTCAGCCTGGATGATCACATGCTCCTCTGAAAAGGCAGGAAAGGTGTTAGGGTGGGAGAAGAAAGGTGGAAGAGAGAAAAAAGAATCCAGGATGTGAGACAAACATGTTGGCAGGGGCAGTGGAACAATATGGAGTGGAGCTATATGGAGTGAAGGAGTGATGGAGGGCAGGGATGAGTCTGAAGATGAGGGTCAGGTGGAAGACATCCATGTTGAACACAGCTGGAGGGCAGAAATAAAGGGGCAGAGTTAGAGAGGGTGGATTGAAGGAAATGAGGGCTGAAAATCCGAGTCTTGTGAAGCCGTTGTTTGGCTCCATGTTACTAGCTGAGAAATGACTCCCTATTTGGAAATACAGCAGCAGCTCCTGAAAGAGAATTGTTCACTCACTGCATTTTCCTGGCAATTAAATACACTTAGACAAGAATTCTAGGGCATCTCTCGGAACATTGTAATATAAGAAGAGGGGAAAACTGTTTAAAAGGCTGGGTTCTGAACTGTGGAATCAAATTAAATCTTTTTTTTTTGCACATTTTTTTTTTCAACATTTATTTATTTTTGGGACAGAGAGAGACAGAGCATGAACGGGGGAGGGGCAGAGAGAGAGGGAGACACAGAATCGGAAACAGGCTCCAGGCTCTGAGCCATCAGCCCAGAGCCTGACGCGGGGCTCGAACTCCCGGACCGCGAGATCGTGACCTGGCTGAAGTCGGACGCTTAACCGACTGCGCCACCCAGGCGCCCCTCAAATTAAATCTTTAATTCTTATTCAGCTACTTAGTAACCTTGAATTGATTAGTTTACTACTCATATGTTATTTTCCTACTATACTTTCCTGTGGTTTTGCTTCTACCTTGGCTTTGTCTTTGGAATTAAATGAGGCAAGCAAAGTAAGTAATTTCTTAGTACATCATCAGACTTGTAACAAGCATTTTAGGGTTAAAGTTGCTTTGTATTTAAGGAACAGAGACACCTCTATCTTCCCCTTCCATCCCAAGGAAAGAGACTCTATCTTACAAGGTATGTATCTCTATATGTGGCTCTTTCTAGGCAATAGAAACTTAAAATTTCTATCATGGGTCTTGGAGTTGGATTATTACATTACTTATTTCCAGTGTACCTGCCACCCTCTGTGGGATCAGTCTGAGTGAAGGATACTTTTTCATAACACATTTTCACAGAAGTAAACATTTCGTGTGGAGATGACAGAGAATAATAGCAGAATCTCCATATTCTTACTCATTGTTCTACTCTTTTGTGAAAATCACTAAATGATAGTGACCATAGATCACTGTAAAATCTACTGAAGGGGTGAAGGGGATATCCCTCTCCCAAGAGGAAGTAAGTTAAATGCATTTTGTATCAGCATACATACCTGCCCTTACCCTCCTTTGGATAGATTAATTGCTTTTGGTGACTTCCCTTTCTGGTGATCTTCAGTACAATGTGCTTAAAATATGCTGACAGGATTCAATTGCCAAAACATAACTACCATGTATTTGGCTAAGAACCAATGGTAAGAACTTCTCAAATTTTTTTCCTCATTTAATCATACAAAATTATGTGAGATTTTAAAATTTGCTTATTTTCCAGAAAAAGAAATTAAAACCCAGACGTTAGCTTACATTAATGCCTCTCAGAAAATATTTTCACTTCAAGTCTGGCTGATCTCAAAGTCAATGGTATTAATCAATACTCAGCTTTTGTTCCTCTCAACTAAATGTGACTGACTTCAATTTATGATAAGATATTCAAACTATAATTTTTATACTTTCAGATTTAGACCACATGAAGACTGCCACACTTTCCCTTCAGCCCAAAGATTGTCTTGCAAATAGTTACAGTTTATCTCTCGAATGTTTTTAGAGCTTATATCCAAAGTTTTGTTTCTCTTAGCACTTACCTTTGATAGCCAATGATTCCTGAGGACCCATCAGTAAAGCCATGATGAAAAATCCTAACACTGGGACTCTACTTACGGCCATTTTCTTCTTTGGCGATTTTATAGGGGTCAGTAGAGCTTAAGAGTGGGGTAGAACTGACAAGAATAAAGGAAAAGAGAATGTAAGGTATGATAGAGTCTGACTGATTAAAATTCAAATAAATTGAGCTGAAGCCAATCAGAAAAACTTTTGAGATGACACATCTGTTGCTAAGGAAAGAGCTCTTGTAAAGGGTCAGGAAAGGAAACACTTCGTTCATTAGATACAGAAATAAAGTTTTAATCAATTAATCAAAACAAACAAAAAGAGCAAAAACTCAAGTTTTTGAGAATGTTGTACATTCAGCCATAGACTGTTTCATCCCAATATAAGTTCTAGAAACAGATGTACCTGAAGCACTGAGAATAAAATCTATGGAAACACCCTGTGTGACAATTAGTGACAAATTATGCCTCTGTGCTGTGATAGCTGGGGAGTTATTTAAGGGACAACAAATCATCTAAAGAGAAGGTAAATTGTCGTGCTATGGAGAATACTTGATTCTTGACAGTACTGGGTGACAGAGCTTCACTTAAAAAGCTTCTTATTGCTTCAGGATTCTTCTCCAGTTTCCTAGACTCCCAGATGGACAACTCAGCCCAAAAGCTGGGAATCCCTGGCACTGTATTATATTTACAGAACATCAGTGGGGAACTCTGGTGTCCTCTAGCTGGAGAGGGATGGAAGAGATGTCATAGGTAATGGTTACTGGAAGCAGTGGACTGTAAGGGGGGGGGGGTACCTTTTCCTAATCCCCACCGTACTAAATATGACCTGAGACTGGAGTGGACCGCTGGGGATACACCTCATTTGAGGAATCAAGGTGATGCATAGGGTGGAGTAAATTGGGCAAAGCTTATTTTACTGGGGGCAATAGAGATAATAACCTGCAGGAGGGCTTTACCATAACTTTCCTCATGTCATAACATTATGAAAGTTCTCCTCATGTCATAAATTATTGCAGTTCTGATTCTAAGAATTTATTTTGATGCTCACCATTGAGAAACCTGAAAGTTAACACACTCTGGCCCTCATGTTTCTGGACATACAGTGCCGTAGGAAGGAAAATTAAGCCATACATAGAAAGGGCTAGAATCTGAATACTTTCAATAAAGAGAGAACTGTCAGTGAGGCAGACCACCAGATGGTGAGTTCACTGTTATTATCAGTCATGACACATATACTCTGGGCAGATTGTCTATACTGTTGTGCTAATGTCTTATCCACTGCTGGATAAGATATCCACCCACTGCTGCCTTCACAAATCATGAGAGAAAAAACTCTACACATTACTGATTATCTGATCATATACGAGGGCTTTGAACATCCTCTACCACTGACTTCTAGATCACTTAGAAGAGACCCACAGCAGTTTTGCCCTAAAATTGTTAAGAAATACACTTCCTGGAGGCAAAGGAATGGTCCAGATGAGAGTTCTACAGTATCAGTCTCTGCTGAGAGTCTGGTCCTATGATTTAGGCTTGTCATCTCCTCCTCAGAGGTCAAAACAAATATAATTTCTCTATGACTGCCCTTTGCTGGCTGTCATACTCTTTGGTTTTTATAAGTTGCTCAATGAATATATGGTAAACTCAAAGACAATTTACAGAAAAATATCTTAAATGTCATAACAGCACTTTCAAACTAAGGTGTTGCTCAGCAACTTATGATATTGCTTAGTTCTAGAATGCTGATTGGTTCTCCTCATGAGATTACCAAATTGGGAGACGTTAGAAAATACTTTCATTTCCCTTTCCCTGTGACAAGAGAGATGTTCCTATCCAGACACTACTCATGGTCTCCTGTTTTCTTCCTATACTCTAGCTTCCTTAGTCTGAGGGGATTTCTGAGGGCACCTGAGTGAGTTCTTTTCGGTGACATCAAATGGTGAGGAGCCACTGTACTAGTCAGAGTTCAGTCTGTAAATAGAAGTCCCTATAGACACTTTAAACAGAATCGTTTGTTACAATTCTCCTGTATTACAAGGACTTATACCTTTAAAGTGTTAGGAAGACTGGAGGAGCAAAAGTCAGTGTGTACCCCTAAATCCAGGAGGTCAGGAAACTGTCTCCTCTAGAGCCCCAAGGAAAGGACTGTCTTGGAAACACAAGGCTGTTGCCAAGACTCCTGTGTGTGAAACTCTTATGTCTACCACATGAGATAGCTTCAACCTACCTGCCACTTCCCAAATCTCATAATACTAACTTTTACTGGCAGCATGTAGACCACGTTCAGATCTTGCACAAAAAGAGCCTGAGAAATGTAATACTCTTACTTCTATTACTTGTGATACAGACAAGACATAGAAGCTAATGGGAATTTTTCCTTAAATTACTAAATGCAAATATGTACACCTTATCTCTGGTTCCTTCACAGTACCAAACCTAGAACCAGAGGAGTATTTGGGGGTAATAGGTAAGTAAGGCCTGGAAATGAGATAAGTTTCACATGGAACCCAAGGCCACAAGTGTGTATATGTGTATGTGTATGTGTATGTGTATGTGTATGTGTTGGGGCAGGGGAGGTTGGTAATTTAGGACCCACATCTCAGAATATTTCCCTGCCATCCAACCAGTTTCCATTGTTATGATTTGAACATCTATAGTCAGGTTGTTTTATAGTACCCAAGTTCTGTTCTAAAAGGCACAAGCTGAACTCGATAACTGAGAAATTCTAAAGGAATAGATTCACCACAGAAGACTAAGAGTGTTTGCCTTCAACAGCTGTCCCCACATGACCAATTAATGGTTTGACTCCTTACTCAGAACCTCCTCCTGATTTTAGACATTCTGGCACCTTGTTTTCAGAAGTCATTTCCAACTCCACATGCCATCTTTCCCACTCCATATCCAGCACAAATCCCAGAAATGTAGGACATTCCAATGCAAAGTTGTTTCCATCTTCTGAAAATGTGCCTGCCCTCACCTGTGAATCCTCCTTTCACCTCTTCTTCCAGGAATAGAAAGTGATTTTACTCCACAGTCCAGGTAAGAAAGTCAAGAAATGGCATTCTTAAATATTATTCTCTATTGCATGAGATCTAAAGTGTGGAATTTATTTAATTCCGAATGATCTTATAGAATACAGGTGTGTTTGCATACATATACCTATATTGTGTGTGTTTGGGGGAAGGAGAGCTGGAAAAGTCTTCATTTTTAATTGGTCAGATTAATATATATTTTTGCTTAACAATTACCTGTTGAAGATGTTTTGTTTAAGGAATTTGGTCAGCAATTAGGGCCAGAAGTTGGCTGTAGGTCAGCCACTGCGAGGTGACAGACCCAGCATCATTTACTTTGCAAGGCTCAGAGGTTTCTATGAATATATTTGTCAGGTTGGATGTGGCCAATTTGGTTGTAAGGCAGGGTTGTGTTGGACAATAGGGAGGGGTATATGGGTAAGATGTGGAGAGGAGTGCAGGTGGTAAATTCAAGCCTGGAGGAGGTGTCGGTAGTGGTGGTGGAAACAAAATGAGGAACAGAATATGTTGTGGAGGTGTTAGGTGGAAAGCAAAGCTGTAATCCAGTACATTTAGCAGTGAAAACAGCATGGAGAGGTCCCTGATCACGGAGTTCAGCAGGTCAAACTGGGGGTATTGTGAGGAAGTACTTATGTAACTAGGATGGTTTAGAATACATTGTTTGGCTTCATTGACATAAAGATGAAATGCTGTTTAGTCCTTCCAGGCAGATGGCAGGGGACTTATGGTTTACAAGCATTTTGCTAAAGGTTAGCTTTCTGAGGCAAGTGCTTAGCTCTTTCAGAAAAAAAAAAAGTACTCTCTTGGGTCCTCATTGTCAATCATTTGGAGGCATGTTTGCAAATAAGCCTCCAGGTTGACAGTTAATATAATCATTTCCCTCCTTGTGTGGGAAAAAATGAGAGGAAAAAATTCCAATGTCCCACAAGTTTGGGGCACATTGTCTTCCTTGTTGTTCTCTTGGGTTGTGGTGTGGCCATCTGAGGTAAAATCATCTCCAACAGTAAGCTCTCAGGAAAGGGTGATGTTGTCTGTGGAGTTGGTGTGCTTGGGAGTGGTGGAGGCCAACCTGGCGGAGGGTGGCCTTTCCATGAAGAGATCAATGAAGGGTATAAGTGTCAGGCTGGTGCTGAATTCTGAGTATATGTGCTAGAGGCCTGGCCCAGGATGGAACCACAGGTATGGGCTCTACTGCTACATGAGCAGTCTCAGTGAGCTCCATTGGATCAGCAGGGGTGTACCTTGCAAAGGAGAATGCAGTGTCCATGACCTCATTTTGTGGGGACTCCATTAATAATATATATTCTCGAGGGGCACCTGGTTGGCTCAGTCAGTTAAGTGTTCAACTTCAGCTCAGGTCATTATCTCACAGTTTGTGGGTTTGAGCCCTGAATTGGGCTCTGGGATGACAGCTTAGAGCCTGGGGCCTGCTTCAGATTCTGTGTCTCCCTCTCTCTCAGCTCCTCCCCAGCTCTCTCTCTCTTTCTCCCTCTCTCTCAAAAATAAATAAACATTAAAGAAATTTAAAAATACTCAACAAAATACTATCCAACTGGATCCAACAATACATTAAAATAATTACTCACCAAGACCAAGTGAGATTTATACCTGGGATGTAGGGCTGGTTCAATACCCACAAAACAATCAATGTGATACATCACGTTAATAAAAGAAAGAACAATAACCACATGATCCTCTCAATAGATGCAGAGAAAGCATTTGGCAAAATACAGCATCCTTTCTTCATAAAAGTCCTCAAGAATGTAGGGATAGAAGGATCATACCTCAAGATCATATACGGAAGACCCACCACTAATATCATTCTCAATGGGGAAAAAATGAGAGCTTTCCCCCTAAGGTCAGGAAAACGACAGGAATGTCCACTCTCACCACTGTTATTCAACATAGTACTGGAAGTCCTAGCTTCAGCAATCAGACAATACAAAGGAATAAAAGACATCCAAATTGACAAGGAGAAAGTCAAACTTTCACTCTTTGCAGATGCCATGACACTCTATATGGAACATCCAAAAGACTGCACCACAAAACTACTAGAACTGATCCATGAATAAAGCGAATGTGCAGGATATAAAAATCAATGCACAGAAATCAGTTGCATTCCT